ATCCACTTTCGTTATAAAATGATATTATTTCCGAGTAAAAATATGCTTTTTCATGTTCTACATTAAGCACCAACATCATAGTGAGTAAATATATCATATATCATCATTGCTTACATAATGCTATGAAACATTGGGTAATTAGATGGACCACTGAGAACTTCCTATTTTAGGTAAATGATAAAGGTATCTCTGTTGCATGGCTTCCTCTCGTGTGTTTTAAATACATGAGAGGAAGTCATTTAGATGCATGCATCTAAATGGCTTGTTTAAATCCCTCAAATCAAAATGGTTGTTTGTATTTTAATAATAGCCATTTTACTTTTTAGTGATCCTAACTTTAAAGTAAATAAGTGACTGTAAGAATGCCTCCTTACAAAATGTAGTGTATGTAGGCGGCAGTCTGTTACAAAATTCAATGCAACTCTGTAACTACAAAATAATAATATAAATATGCCTACTGTATGTTTACGAATGCTCTGCTGAATCTGTGCCTCCTTTTACAGCTCGAGCTAATCCTTTATTTTATTTTCCCTTATTTTATTTTTGCTCAGAGGCAGTTAGTCTGGCCTTGGGCCAATACCTGGGATGTCATTGTGAATATCTGATATATTCCTAGTTTAAAATTATGCCTCTCTTCAACAAATACAGTTGATATTGAATTTCTTTTTGCACAAAACTGACGGCATCATTTGCCTCAACACACTCTAAACGCAGTTTGCTTCCAGTTCTACGTGGTTGGTTTTAACACGATTTAAAGTAGTCAATAAATGCAAGTCATCAGTACCAAGAAATTAAAATGCATAAAATATTAAATGCTGTATTTATATACCATACATTTCTTTTTTTAACTATTGTACAATCAATAGCTTCCCAAGTCTTAATTCGTACTTCTATTGCATTGCCCATCTTCAAATGTTAAGATGTTATTATTGAGTACATGCAAGAAGTACTCAATAATACACGTGACGTGCAACAGCAAATTATAAATTTACAATGAAGTATATCAAATCAAATCAAATGTTTATTCAGGTAAAAGTACATACATAGAGGATTAGTTAGAAACATAATGTTGGATTTATAGCTAGAGCTAGTACACAAATACCTAAAGCCACTAGTACACATAGCGTTTCGAGCATAGGTATTATGGAAACTATAGGTATAGTTTCGGGTATAGGTATAACAAATATAAAATTGAACTTAATTTTTATGTTACTGATCATATTTAATACAAAAAAAATTATAAAAAAAATATATACCTGTTGACTCCTTCTGTAGATGTATTAATATACGAAAGTACTTAAGGAAATTCCTGTTTCAATTTTCCTCTGTGGTCTGACACTGTCACATTTTTAATCACGTGTTTATTTTTTATTTATATCACATGATTTACACACGTATATCTGTATATATATATATATACTGTACTGCAATTTTCACCTGTTCCAGTTGCCACGTGTGATTTTTTTCTATTTGAAGTGTAAACTATTTTAAGTCAGACACACCGCAATGTGGTACTTTTAAACAGCTGTGCAGTACAGGGGTTAAATGCAAACTTTCATTTCAAATCACAAACAAGAATATTTACAATTATTAGTGAAAAGATCCTGTCATTCCTCTCAAGATTTCATCATAGGTAAAAACAGAGTAATTAGGTTATTCATTAAAAAAAAATGTTTCATTAATGAAACACACTTGTATGGTATTCTTCTGATAAAAGATGCAGCATCATAATTACTTGACACTGAAACATAATTATATGACAGTTTTCAAAGACGATTTCTTTGTTGAAAATATGTGGTACCTGTGTCACTGCATAATACCAATCTCAGGTGATGTAATGTGTGGTACCTGTCATTAGTTTGGCACAACTAGGTGTTTTTGTGGTATCTGTCACTATCTACGCACTACCAGGTATTTTCAGAGTAATAAAATGAAGAAACTATGAAGGTATTCCAATGTGTTTTGCTAATTTTCAAATATTTCATCAGCACTCCTCATACCTTTATGGATAATATATCCATGTATTAAAAAAGATCACATATTTAACACAGACCTAGATCTGTCATATATATATATATATATAAAGGGGCTATCATACCCTTTGCACAATTAATGTCTCAATCTGTACATAACATCAGTGGATTTATCTTTAAATTTTATATAAATGTTTGACAAATATATAGATACATATAATCAGAGTTAGAGAGAGAGCAAATCAAATTTGATGTGAGACAAATACTCAAAAAAGAAAACTTTTAATAAGTTAAGAAAATAAAATGGAAAAGTAGTATTTTACATGACAAGAATATCACTCGTGGATACATATGAAAATGATTAATGATCAGCTTACAACATTTCTCAGTTACAGTATTGGGAATACCTATATCCAAACACCAGAAGCTTGTTTGTTTTAACGTAATTAAATAATACTTCATGGATGAACCTGCTTCTGTCTAGGAAATCTCAAACACCAAAAACATTCAAAGAGCATACCTAAATATCATTTCTATAATCTATATAAAGACAACGGTAAAATATTTAGCTTAATATTTTTTTGGAACACTTACAGCTACAACACTAAAGAATATAACATTCAATATGACAGTACCTGTTAAGCACAAGTTGGATGGCTTTTCTGGATGAGATGTGGGATCAACTAGAGTAAAGAGGCTACTGAAAGTACTGTAGATTCATTGACAGATTTGCTAAAATATTCTGAAGTAGATTAAGGCTCTGACAGATATAAATACCCAGTATCTACAGCCAACTTGGAGGCCCCAACTTCCAAGTGTATACACATACACACACACAAAAAAAATTGGTAACTGTCTTCTCTGATAAACTGACACTCTTCTTACAAACAAGAGACTGAGCAACACATATATTTCAGCTAAAAAAACTTTCTATGTGCACCACCAAGAATCTTATTAATCACATTCTTATTAATTGTTTTGAATGCTTGATTATCTAAGATTGAGTTGAAAAGTTTTGATTTTCAAATTAAAATGTGCAAACCTTGTTGAACTAGTAATGGATTAAGTAGAATCTAAAAGCAACTAAACACAGAGTTCTATTATCCGATGCAGGAGATCTGCAAATACTAACCGTGTATTCTATCAGCGTTAATGGATTTAATATACTGCCATTAATTCAAATGATAAGTCATATTTGAAGCACTGTACTGTACTGTAATTCTATCAACCCAGCACTTTGAAATAATTCAACTGACCCTATGGTGCATTTTGGTGCTGGCTACACTGCTACAAAACACCTACAATACTCTCAAACAAAAACAACTAACTGGGCAACAGTCACACTCTTCTGATCTCTGTTGGCAACATTTGTATTAGAATCATTCACTTGTCAAAAAATGAATTGCATAAAGTTTTTCAAACTTAAAATGTACATATTTTACAACCTTATACTAAAGTAACACTAGTTGACTTTGCTTTAAGTCCTTATGCAGTGGTGAGCAATACTGGTACACATGCAAGAGCAGCTCTGGGGCAGGAATGACCACCACACCAGGTAAGGAAGATGTATTTACAAAATCTAAATCCAATGCTTTCCATTAGGGATACTTCCACTGATACTAAAGTACTTAGAACTCAATTTGTTTATAGAAACTGTGATGTCATCAAATAGATCCAACATAAATTTTTCCTTTAAAATGCAAGGCATATTATGAATAACTATTAAACAATTTATTATTCAATAAACAGCCATTAATGGAGTGCTGCTTGTAATTTTTCAAGCTCCTGCATACTAGTTCCTTGTTAAGTTTTGGTGCTTATCAATGATGAAAAGATTACATAATATTATAAAGAGAAAAAAATGTCACAACACAATGTTAACTTGTGTGTCTTAAACACAGTTCTTTTTAATATAATTGACAAATATCTTAGTTTCAATCGCAGCAGAATTTAATATTTATCACACCTATTTCTAACACTAATCTCCAGATACTGTATTATTATTCAACACTTACAGTACTTGAAAGTTACTGCTCAACTATAGATTAAATACAGCAAAATACAACAGCAAACTTTGTTAGCAGCAGTTTTTTTGCTAATAGCTGATTATATCTTCCTTATTGCAATAAATCAGTGAAGGGCAACGAGCCTTCCTACCTTCATTCGAGTGCAGGAAAACATTCATCACATGGACAAGAGTAGTAGTACCTTATTATCTAATTAAGTGAAATTGTAATGAAAAATATGTTGAATAATTCTTTATCTCCACAAAAATTTATATATTATTGCTGAAGTACAGAAATATAAAATACACTGCTGATATGAGAAAAAAATGTCATAAGCAATTGGTTTGAGTAAGAGAAAACAAAGAAATGAGAATATCGAGGGAAGTGTTGACCAGACCACATAATAGAAGGTGAAGGGACGACGACGTTTCGGTTCGTCCTGGACCATTCTCAAGTCGATTGAGAATGGTCCGAACTTGAGTCCGACAATCAACTTGAGAATGGTCCAGGACGGACTGAAACGTTGTCATCCCTTCACCTTCTAGTGTGCGGTCTGGTCAACATACTTTAGCCATGTTATTGTGACTCATCACCTGCATCGAGGGAAGTGCTATGCAGCATTATTATGTTTGTTCAATGTCAGCATCCACCAAAGGATGATGTTTTCCAAAGCTAAAATGAGAATGTGCAGGATGATGAAAAAAAAGGATTAAAAATGGAATGCTACATTATGGCTGAAAATTAAACTCGGAAATTTTGAAAGTAATTATGAGGGGAGAAAAAATCATGTTTCTTGGTGAAACCACCGAGAAGTGTTCTGCATTTGTGTTTGCAGGAAGTTCACAGTGGTTGTGTTGCAGCAAGAAAATGTATTATTCTAACAAGTTCAGCTTAAAGGAGGGTTTGAAAGTTCTAATATCAAAAGTTAATTACAGTATTTTGTGGTATGGTAGGTATTAAAAATTCTGAGTTATAGCTGGAAGACTTAACAGTGCCTGCATTCTAGCTAATGGTGTCTGTTTCAAATGATTTTATGGTGTTTGTGTTCTAGCAGGAGTAGCTTATAATTCTTGTGTTCTTGCAGAAATTGTTTATAGTGCTCATGTTCTATGAGGAGGAGTTTATGGTGCTTGTGTTCTAGCAGGAAGAGTTTATGGTGCTTGTGTTCTAGCAGGAGGAGTTTATGGTGCTTGTGTTCTAGCAGGAGGAGTTTATGGTGCTTGTGTTCTAGCAGGAAGAGTTTATGGTGCTTGTGTTCTAGCAGGAAGAGTTTATGGTGCTTGTGTTCTAGCAGGAAGAGTTTATGGTGCTTGTGTTCTAGCAGGAAGAGTTTATGGTGCTTGTGTTCTAGCAGGAAGAGTTTATGGTGCTTGTGTTCTAGCAGGAGGAGTTTATGGTGCTTGTGTTCTAGCAGGAGGAGTTTATGGTGCTTGTGTTCTAGCAGGAAGAGTTTATGGTGCTTGTGTTCTAGCAGGAGGAGTTACTGTGCAAAATGTTATAATTAATTATCATGACATCAAATATTAAGGCAGAAAAACCTTATAAAAGTGATGGATATTTTCTGGTGGAAGCAGAAAAATGTGAAAACTCTGAGGTTGAATGTAGATCAAAAATAAATTTTGAACCCCCAAGGAGAATTCGTGTCAATGTCTAGCAGAAATGATATTCTAAGTTAATTATATTGGCTCAGGACAGGTAACAAGCTAAAATCTTTTTGGAATGTAATTTTTTTTATACTATATACACAATAAACTCAACAATACCTTTGGAAGAAAATTGACCATGCAGTTTTATTTATTGAAGATCTACATAAACCAAAATGTATGTTTTGAAAGACTACACAGAAAAATAGTTCATTCAATCAACATGCATGAACACTGTTGAGAGAGGACAAGATGCACAAGCATTAAACTGGCTTGAGAAAATAAACTAATAAATCAATCACATGAAACAAAGAATACACTATTTCCTGTTATACTGTATTTTGAACAATTAAAATGTTTATATGTATTATATATATATAATAATATATTTACCTTATACTGTATATATGTGGTTATATATGACTGCATTGCTGGCATTGTTGTTCTTATAGTATAAACTTATGTTTCTATTTTCTTGCCCTTGGGATTAGGAAGAGCAATCAAGTTACTGTATCAAAATTCATGGTAAAGAAACTAGTGATTATTGAAGGGTTTATTTACTACTACACTTCATTCCACTCTAGAACGTCTTCAGGTAAAGAATGAATATACAAGGTGCAAATTTATCTTAAATACACATATGGAAGAGGTGAAGTTGTGTGGGGTAAGGTGAAGTAATCAAACCTACGGGAACAAATAGGGAAGTAATGGGGATGAATGCCACTCAAACATTCCATATGTGTATTTAAGATAAATTTGCACCTTGTATATTCATTCCTTATCTGAAGATATTCCAGAGTGGAATGAAACATTGTAGAACATAAACCCTTCAGTAATTACTAGAGTTTCTTTATCATGAATTTTAGTAACTTGATTGCTCTTCTTAATCACAAGAGTAAAAAAAATAATTAGAAGCATTAAAACCTTATAATGTACTATAAGATTAACAATGCCAGCAATGTGGTCGGATTTAACTTAAGTATGCCTAAAGTAATAAGGAATACCTGCTGCCCAGTATGTATGTGATCTGTATGTGTGTTCTGTGTATATATATATTATAAATATATATGTCGTACCTAGTAGCCAGAATGCACTTCTCGGCCTACTATGCAAGGCCCGATTTGCCTAATAGGCCAAGTGATTTTCTTTTTTCAATAAATTGTTTCCAATTTGTTTATTTCAATTATTATTATTATATTAAAAACATAAATTATTGACTTGTGTTAGTTTAGGTTAGGTTAGGTAAGGGTTGGTTAGGTTCGGTCATATATCTACATTAGTTTTAAATCAAATATAAAAAAATTAACTCATACATAATGAAATGGATAGCTTTATCATAAGAAAAAAATTAGAAAAAATATATAAATTCAGGAAAACTTGGCTTATTAGGCAAATTGGGCCTTGCATAGTAGGCCAAAAAGTGCATTCTGGCTACTAGGTACGACATACCTGTATAATATTATTATATCCATACTGTATAGAGAAAGAGAGATTGAGATTGACTGATTTTGTACTGTTTATTTGAAAGTGCAGTTAGAATATATTAACAATTATAACACCTTACTATACTGCACTTGTTATACAGATCAATGTTGCATTTGTCCTCTGGTTATGTTTAAATCATCAAACCAATTTAAAATGCTGTGTTAAAAATAGTACAGCTGGATGTAGAGATGTTTGTAAGTGACCAGCGGAAAAGACCTGAACTATCCACTTTATCACACACAAAAAAACAAGAGAAAAAAAAGTGAAACAGGTGCATAAATATAGTGAACTACCCTGAAGTACAGACAATAAAATCTAATTCCTATTAAATGTATAACAACTCTGAAGACGACTCTACCATATGTAAAGATGTAGTGTAAAGATAAGAAATATGAAAGAGAAATGAAAAAGACTGAGGATCAGAAAAGAAAGCAAGACCTAAAAATTTAAGTAAATGCTAAAGAACAGGAACATCTATTAAAGGAAGATGATGGGGGTAAATCTGACAGAGAGGTGAGTCCAAGTATGACCGTTTGCACGGACATGGCTGCCTAGGAAAAACCTGCACAGGATGAATCCAATTTAATATAAATAGTTTTAAAAGACAAAAATTCTGTCTGGTATCACCATTATTATGAATCCATAGTAAACTATATATATTGCATCTGGTAAATAAAAATAATATTTTATTTAACACACATATATATATGTATATATATATATATATATATGTATGTCGTACCTAGTAGCCAGAATGCAGTTCTTGGCCTACTATGCAAGGCCCGATTTGTCTAATAGGCCGAGTGATTTTCTTTATTTTCAATAAATTGTATCCAATTGCTTTTTTGAATTCTTATTATTATATTATATCAAGAACATAAATTGTTGACTTAGTTATGTTAGTTTAGGTTAGGTAGGGTTGGTTAGGCTCAGTCATATATCTGTTAGTTTAAACTCAAATTAAAAAAATGAACTCATGAAATGGTAAATCTATCTATTTCATTATGTATAAGAGAAAATAAGGAAAAAATATATAAATTCATGAAAACTTGGCTTATTAGGCAAATTGAGCCTTGCATAGTAGGCCAAATAGTGCATTCTGGGTACAATATTATATATCTGATCTCCAAATAGATTACTAGCAATATCCAATAGATACATATATACAAATCTAGTCTACCTACAGTGCAATAATACTAACCACTGCGTTTGCCATTATTTAGTTTGATATTTATTTCATTTATTACTGATACATTCATGGCTAATCTTTAAGTGATACAAATGTTTGTTCAAGATGAAGACAGTTCAGTACAAGTCAGGATCATTACAAGCTTCCATTCTTGGTAATGAGTATCACTCTTTTGTGAAAATGTTGGCGATATGCAAACAATTACATTTTATCAGTGCATTTAGTTTGGAAGTATCGATGGAATTTGGAATGTAGCGCCAAGAGAAGGCATTGAAGAAGTCCATACCAGTTTTTCATTTGTTTCACTACGTCAGGAAGGAAGGCAAAGCATCATTATCCTCCTTCTTGAGAGGTCAAAATCATTCAAACATCTTTGGATGAAAGCAGAGCATTATTGGCACATGAAGTTCGTTCTGTGGCAGCAGTATGAAAACTTTATTATCATGGCCCTCTGGCATCTCTTGCTGCTCCTGAATCTGGAATAAATATCAATCAGGTAATATTTGTATTAATATTTACTCTCACACATTGTAACTCAGAGAAACCAGGCTTTAAGGACAGTAGAGTTACCATGGGATATTTACCAGGTGTCCTCTTTCCTATCAGATAAAGCTACATACAATGGGATGCCCATTATCTGGATTCTTTCTTTCATAGATTTTCAAGTTTACTTGAAAGAAAAATATTTGTTTCTGCAATTTCATACTGTACATGGCAGAGCTGAGAAGAAAAAAGTTACAACACAACTTGTCATATCTTTTTCTACCCTGTTTGTTAAATTATCTTTAGGTTTCTCATCATTTGGTGCTACTTATATGTCCCCAAGTACAGTACATTATTAACTGTCCATTACAATTCCTGAATCTATCAGTTCCTTCTGACGATCTTAAATTTTTTATATTTTCTCCCCTCACATAAGTCAAGATCTGATTGTATTGATGTACTGAACTCTGTAATTTATTTAGTTTGTGCTTGTCAAAGTCAAACTTATTTAGAGAAATAAACAGTAACAACTTGGCCAAAGAGTTACAAGTAAATATTTTAAACAATGCATACAGGAAAGAGTAAAAAGGCCGTGATAACTAGAATGAAATAGTTTGAAGTAAAGGTTTGCTCAAGATTTCAGAAATGCTAAAGAGAACACAATGAAAATGTAGTATTGAGGGATGTTAGTACTCACTGGACTGTACTAATCTCTGCTTTCGAGTATGTGTTTCGTTGTTTGCAGGGGGTGCAGGAGTGTTGACAGCAGCTACCATTGTCGTCACTCGCTGCTCCACCTGAAGTAGTAATTGCAGTTATCAAGTGAATTACAATGCAATAATGATAGTCATGTATCTGAGATGTGATAACTAGACCAGTGTTTAGTTCAGAAACCTACTAAAACTGCCTATAAATTTAACACTCCTTCAAATACACCCAAATACCATTTTGATACCATGATACCAATCATCCATGCATTCTAGATCATAAGCACACCTCCAATGTTAAATTAATAGTCCAATAAATTATTTATCATTATCATGACTCCAATTTTCACAATCATAGTGTGTTAAGGCATCATTCCAGAAAAAAAGGCACTTGTCCATTCACCATGCCATACACTGTGACATCCATCCATTAAAGGCAAATTGATGTATACTTACAAATATAACACTATACAATATAGTGTCATGGAGAGACCAGCAAATTATCCACAGAACACCATTGTGTCGTATGACTAGGTATAGAGAGCTCAGATCATTTTTGTTTCCCTCTTTACTTACAAGTCCCTGTTTACTGCAACCATTTCATAATGCCGTATGAAGTGATGAAATAGGCATTTCCTTTTACTTTTTTATTTTTACATACAAGAGTTTTTACACTCTTGTACAGCCATTAGCATGCATAGCATTTCGGGCAAGTCCTTAATCCTAATACATATGATTGATACTGTAATCAATCATACAGTGTATGATTGATTACAGTATATATATATATATATATATATATATATATATATATATATATATATATATATATATATATATATGTCGTACCTAGTAGCCAGAATGCACTTCTCAGCCTACTATGCAAGGCCCAATTTGCCTAATAAGGCAAGTTTTCATGAAATAATGTTTTTTCGACTACCTAACCTACCTAACCTACCCTAACCTAACTTTTTCGGCTACCTAACCAAACCTAACCTATAAAGATAGGTTAGGTTAGGTTAGGTAGGGTTGGTTAGGTTCGGTCATATATCTACGTTAATTTTAACTCCAATAAAAAAAATTGACCTCATACATAATGAAATGGGTAGCTTTATCATTTCATAAGAAAAAAATTAGAGAAAATATATTAATTCAGGAAAACTTGGCTTATTAGGCAAATCGGGCCTTGAATAGTAGGCCAAAAAGTGCGTTCTGGCTACTAGGTACGACATATATATATATATATATATATATATATATTTTGGTCGAATCACAACATTTTAAAACAAATAAATATTTTACCCAATCACTCCAATATTTATTATTACAAGAAGGCTGAAAATGTGCATAGAATTTCCTTTTTGAATGCAACAAAAAGTACTACTACTGACCTTTTGTAACTGCTGCTTGAGTTCACTAACACCACTGGCCAGCTGCACCTGACTCCCCTCCAGCTTCCTCTCCACCCCCTTCACCACGTCCACACTCTGAAACCAGTGAAACTCTTGGTCAAGATTCCATCACTCGGTTAGTTTAGTTCATTTATTATGCACCTCATACCCATCTTGTGGGTGGTAGTGGAAAGGGTTACAAAGGCACATCCATCACTTAAATCATTTAATCAAAGGGTGCTGAGAAGGTAAAAAAATAAATAACTGAAATATATACAAATTAATAGTAAATATTGTGATTCTATATCAGATTTGACAATATAAAATACCAATACATACACATTGCAAGATTGCAAAAACTCATTCTCTCCAGTAACATTTCATTAAGTAAAGAATTAAATCATTCATCTGGGGTGAATGTTAAATTAATTTGCAAAATAACGTTTATAATAAAGAGCTTTGAAAGGGAATTCTTCATGGGTAAATTCAGGTAAATTACCTAAAACTCTTGATATTAATCAACATTAATCTTAAATCATCTAGCTCTACTTGTCTTGAATTTTCCAAGCTTTGAAAATCCCACACTGCTTACTACACAGATCCGTATTTACTTTCATGCCAATAATAGCTTGGCTTGCATACCTACTATCTGTTAAGACCATTAAGGCAACACTGTACCTTAGTTTCCAACCTGCAAATGCACTTTAATTCGAAATAGAATAACGGAGTAAAGCTCATTGACTTTAGGACTCATTGAATAAAAGACTCATTCATTAAAGCTCAGTGTAATTACACAGGAAAGCAACATCCAACTGATAAGGAGGGAAGGGGACTAATACACACACCAAAGTTATGGTAGCTATTTTCAGTTGAATGTCTTTTTCCTTTGACTAAATATAGAAAGGCAGAAATATTTGAGTACCCCATATACTAATACATTCTGTTTTGTATGTATGCCCACACCATCTTTATAAGGATAACTTTGATAATAATAATCATTCAATATGTCGGGGGGAACTGGTAGCCAACAAGCACGGAATTCTCGATAGAGTCGAGAATGAACCCGACTGTACTACTGGGACCCTTATGGTTTTTATAATGTGTATGTAAAATGTTCCTCTCCACTGAATATTTTATTCTTGCAGCCATTTTGTCTGTGTTATGACAGTAAATTTCTTCTTGTAAATTTCCTTATTTATATTTTTGCATATTTTCCTAGTTGATCATCTCCCATCTTTCTCATCCTAGTTCTTAAATCTCTTGTTTTTTTTTATGTCGGTGACCTTGTGTTTACTATGCTCAATCACTTGGACTGGATGGTAGAGCGACGGCTTCGCTTCTTGCTGGTCGGCGTTCAATCCCCAACAGTCCAAGTGGTTGGGTACCATTTCTTTCCTTCGTCCTAACCTAAATCCTTATCCTCATATCCCTCCCAAGTGCTATATAGTCGTAATGGCTTAGTACTTTCTTCTAATAATTACCTTATCTCAAGCCACATACCTACTATGAGTATCTTTGCTCTTTTCTGTCTTTCATCACCACATTTCTGATTCTGGTTCTCCTCTTTGACTCTTTGTAAAAAGATTTTAATAACGAACAGTGGCTTCTAAAAAAAAAAAAAAAGGTACCAAAGGGAACAATTTGTTCAAAATTGGCCTCTCATTTTTGGCTTTAGTTAAGGGGGGCAATCACTATCCCTATCTTTTGGTGGGCCTAGAAAAACATATTTAATATTTTCCCAAAAAAGTTTTCTTTAATTTTACTATCCCATTATCTGTGTTATCTCTTTCCAGCAATTACTGTACCTCTTGACCACTGTCTTAGTTGTTTCGATAGGAACAAGTGCATTTTTGACCTGTAGTACTGATTTAGCTTGGACTGTCTTGGCAGGCAGGCTGTTTCAAAGGTTCATTACTCACTGAAAAAAAGATTAATTTCCTGTTTTCCGTCTTTGTGGGGTTCAGTCCCTGAGCCCATTATGTGCCTCTGTAACCCTTAACACTACCGCCCACAAGATGGGTATGGGATGCATAATAAAATGAACTAAATTAAAATTGCCTTGTGTTGTGGCAAGTCTCAATCTGGTGCCTCTGACTTAAGACTTATTGAAGTGGATGTGCTTTACATTACCTAACTAATTCATCGCAATACTCTTAATGTCTATGAATTAGGAGATACGTAGTCCTCAGCCTTTCGTGGTAAACGTTTTCTTATAAAATTGCATCTTCAACGTTTTGTAGTCAGACTATAACCAAAAGACAGACAGAGAAAAATATTGGTGGCCCACCTGAGTGAGGTTGTGTAGGGTGTGAGCTTGCTGGTCGGAGGTGTCCTGCAGGCGAGCCACAGCTGCTGACAGATTAGCAATCTGTGACGGCAGTGTTGGGTCGACCTTCCTGTGCAGGGTCTCCAGGGTTGACAAGCGCTGGGTCACATTTATCATATCTATATGTGACTGCTCTATGCTCTGAAAAGATTTGATTAAATATTCCAGTTGCTTGATAAAGATCTAGAGAGAACACACACACACACAGATCTAAATATAGGCCAAATTTGCAAGCTTAAATAATGTGAAAATACACCAAGCCGAGAAAAAACTTTAGGAGAAAAGCTCTTTTTGCCATAAAGATCTTTATGTACAAACACGAGGGACAACTATGAAAAACAACATTAAATCATACAAATAAAGCCTTTCTGTATGGCCCACTACAAAATATTGTTTGTTCCCCCCCTCTATATACAGCACTACTGTTACTACCTCAAGCTTAAACTTATTTGCCGAGGACGCCTTGGCATTTGACTGGAGGGAGACATTGATGGCTGAGACGGCAGTGTTGAAGGAGCTCATCTTGTTCCTGAGAGCAACGACAGTTTCACCAAGAGATGCTCCTTTCCCTCCTTCCCGCCCCACCTCCATTAATGTCTGGTTTTGTAAGAGTGATATTTCTTCCTGGAGGCAGAAATGATTAGTATGGCTTACTGGACAAAGATGAATGTGGTTTAGTGAACATCCGTTATTCTTATGTTAACAAAATATATATAACATCCTCGCCACAAAAACACACTCCACCACATCTCTACCGTAACATTCCACCATCACACCACTGCCAGAACACATTCCACACCATATCTACCACAGCACACTACAGCACATCTACCACAACACACTCCACAGCACATCTACCACAACACACTCCACAGCACATCTACCACAACACTCTCCACAGCACATCTACCACAACACACCCACAAATCAGTTTCGAGTAATACTTTGCTGACAACACAAAAATTTGCATGAAAATTGCCTCAGTGGAAGCCACAGTAAAAATAAATCTGATAAAAATAAGTCTTCCTGTGGACACTTAAAAACTCCACGACGTATAACGGTGACAAATTGTAACTACAGCAGTGCTGACAAAAACAAAATACAGAGGCAATGAATTGGGATTGAACTTATATCCCTGGCCTCCCCTTTCTCCACACACACACACACGCTACCGTCTGACCCACACAGCAGTAAAGAACAAAGATCTACAATTTAACAATCAAATCTCATCATAGAATGGAATGACTAAATGCTACATTCGGGAATAGTAATGTAAGATCTAAATTTTGTAGAGAGCACAATAATATAAATCGACCAAATCAATTACAAGGTAGAACCTTCAAAATTTGGGCTGTAATGCTAATAATGGTACTTATCAAAGTATTGGTACTCTCGTCTAGAATATTGTTCATAGTTAACACACATTCCCTTTCAGGCAGGTGAGATAGTCATAATACAAAAAAAATTACCAAGCAAACTTTTACAGCTCGCAGAGAATCAGTTAACTGTGTTCTTTGGAATGGCCAGTTGCTTAATTTAGAAACTGTACTTGTGGTCGATATCGAGCCCATTGATGATGCGACGACTCATACTGAATTTTGTGACTAGCTCATCAAGATTGTAACTTGCTTAGCTAAATGAATTGTGGGGTTCAGTCCCTGAGCCCATTATGTGGCTCTGTAACCCTCTCCACTACCGCCCACAAGACGGGTATGGGGTGCATAATAAATGAAGTAAACTAAAAAAAATACTGGAATGGACATTGGGGAGATATCTCATTGTTTACACGTGTCAAATATTTGGGGGTCAGGTTGTATGAACAGAATCAATGAACACTGTGAACATCCGAGGTCCAAGGCTCTTCAACCTGCTACTACTACCAGAAATACGTATTGCTGGAACAAAATTGAAGCCTCCAAGAAGAAACTTGACAAGTCTCTGCAGCAATTACCTGGATCATCCCCATTACGAGAATGGATAGAACACGAAATTAGACGAGAATAAGTCTCCTGAGCCATCCATCAACAGTAAGTCCTAGCACACCTCTCTCCCCAACAGTGCATTCACTCCACCAGAACATCATTGAAGTCACCCGTTATTCAGCATACTCCAACAACACAGTCACGCGAGTCATCAGGACCACCTGTCCACCGTACAGTATTCTTTACACTACAAGACACCCCTGACCCCTGGGAACACGTCTGCTGTGTACAGCATCTCACCTCACCCGCGCCAAACCTCCAGACCCACCAGTCCTGCAGGCAGAGTCCTCTCCATAATAAGAAAAATTCACCACATTTTGTTTTTCCATCCAACACTCAAATGCATACAACATCCGTCACAGCATGTCCACAGCGCACCGCTAGGCTCACCCTCGCGTGAGTGAGATTTACTCGGCTTGAACCCTGGGCAAGGGAGGGCGACTGGGGACCTTCCCCTTGACTGTTCACCCAGCAATAATTGGGAACCTGGTTATAAACCTATTAACAGATCTTATTCCAGGGGAAACATGTTGGATAAGGTTTAAGATGAGTTGCGAGAGAGTTTCTTTCTTTTTGAAGAGACAAACGTTGTCCGCACCTAAACCCTCCGGGAAAAAAATGGTTCTAAACTGTAGCAAGTTTCGTGAGTGACTTGTTGGCATAAACATTAAGAAAAAAGACAAACGGAGTACTGCAGTAGGCCTACTGACCTATTATGCGTGGCCTTAAATTTCTCCAGCCTCTTATACATTTAAAAGGTACAAGGATGACGTTAACACTTACAAGAATGTTATCATCATAGACAATTTGTATTCCGTGCAGAAGTGTTAACATGGCTCACCTTAAAATTATCGATGGCATTGGTGGCTTCCTTAACATTAGACGAGAGTTTCTGGTGGTCCTGCTTGACCACCTTGAGGGACGACTGGACGTCCTGTAGCGTGGAGCCGAAGGTGGCCACGGAGCCCTGCAGGTCGGCCACGTCCTTGGGCAGGGAGGACAGCTGCGGGGCGCTGCTCAGGGAGTCCTTGATCACCTTCACATCCGTCTCCAGCTGCTCCACCTGCGGGTACAACACCGTTCCACTCACCACATCTTCGTAAATGCACATTAATGACACTATGTAAAAGACACATCGAACACTTTATGTAGGGCATACGTAAATCTGTGTATCTATGTATTTACGTATGTAGGTTAGCTTAGCATTTTAAAAGCACCGAATCACCTTCTGTGGTTGATTGTTCAATAAACCCTTGAACTATATGTTTAACACATCTCTAACCCTGTCCACGGAGGACAGAAGAAAATGCATATATGCTGGTTAGCATTGTAAATGTGTGGCCACGTCTGTGGTAGAAAATAATAATAAAAAAAATCTTCCACCACACCCGCATCATCCGCTTATACACAGAAAACGACACAATTGAAGGAGAAACCTCTGGATTATGAACATGCATGCGTATTTTGTGTCTAGACTAAATGACGACTGGTCGTAAAGTGCATCGAAACGACATAAAACGCAAAAAAAGGAAACTAAAAATGAAGACATTTCGTTCTACTGAAAAAAATATGGTACTGCAATCACAATTGCGACAATATTGCACGTTATCCGGCACTGAGACAATTCGACACGTTATCCGGCACTGAGACAATTCGACACGTTATCCGGCACTGAGACAACCCGATATGTTATCCGGCATTGAGGCAATCCGGCGTTGTACCTGGGAATGTGCAGTAAGTTTGGAGACGCTGCTCCTGTGAGACTGCCAAGTCCCAATGGAAGACGTGGGTCTCTCTGTGACCGCAAGAGGGCTGCACTGGCCACAGTTTAGCAATTACAATTCTGAATACATGTAAGTGTCGAAGATGTAACTGTATGAATGGTGCTCAGATGTAAATGCTTGAATGGTGCTCAGATGTAAATGCTTGAATGGTGCTCAGATGTAAATGCTTGAATGGTGCTCAGATGTAAATGTAAGAATAGTGGCCACAACAGCAAACAAGTAATACAACTGAACTGAACACAAATCTAAACACCCAAAGATAATGAAACATGTATGCTGAAGCTCTGTACTTATACACACATGTTTATATGTGTAAACACTACATATACACGAGGTCACATACACCTAACTGAATATACACGAGTGCACTTACACCTGACTACATATATACACAGATACAAATACATCTGATTGCATATATACAAGAGTGCACATAAACCAGACTGCTTATGTGCATGGGGTATACATACATACACACGTCTGCATACATATAAAGGTGCACATACATTTGTCTTCATACATACACCCGGATGCACACATACTTGGGTGCACATACACATGTCTTCATACATCACGGGTGCACATACATTTCTTCATATAAACACGGGTGCATATGTCTTCATACATACACGGGTGACCACATACCTGGCAGCATACATATATGGGTGTACACACACACACACACACACACACACACACACACACACACACACACACACACACACACACACACGAACCAAGGTAACATAGTGTTGCAATAAGTTTCCAAATTTGTGCACGTCCTATGTGTCACTCGCGGGCAAATCCCAGGTAATTGCATGGCCCGGATACCTGAGTAGTTAAACAAGGCAAATGGCACGGATAATGAGTCGTCCTACAGCGACGTCTGCGGGAGATGGCGCTCCGCTGAAGCATGGCGGGCGGCCTGGCCCGCCTCGCCGTCCCCGGCTTAGGGGACGCAGGAGACCAAGCGAGCTCTCCATTGTTTTAAAAACAAAACCCCTGATACGCATTTTGAGCACTATGTTATATAATATTGAAGTTTTAGAGGGTTATCAGTCTCCAAGAGCTGCTGAGGCAGGGTTTATCTCAAAACAAAGTGGGACGTGTTTGTTTATATACGGATGTGTTGTGTTTATATGTGGCGGCCAGAGTCCGGCCTGGTGTCAGGGAGGGGAGGGGAGGGTTGTGTATGGTGTGGAAGTTAGAGGGATCAGACGCACCGGAATCGATTCTCACTAAGGTCAGAGGGCGGGAAGAGAAGAGGGTTGAGGCGGGAAGAGTGGAAGGCGCGGCAGGAACCACAAGCACAATACAACACCGCAGGAAAATTAATGGCCATATCTGAATGCATATTTTGTCCCAACGTGGAGCATTAATTATCCCCAACACCAGTTTCGTGTAATTCTTGTTTTTGTAATTTTTAGAAAGATCATAATTCATGTGGTGAATGTAGCGCTTGGGTGGGTAATGGAGGCACAACGGAGCCCTTCTTTTGTGTTCTCGTAATATTGTTCTCTCTCTCTCTCTCTCTCTCTCTCTCTCTCTCTCTCTCTCTCTCTCTCTCTCTCTCTCTCTCTCTCTCTCTCTCTCTCTCTCTCTCTCTCTCTCTCTCTCTCTCTCTCTCTCTCTCTCTCGTAACAGAGCCTCAGGTGGTGTCCCAACATGGCTGGTGACGTAACAGCCTGCACCACGTCTTACAAGCCCAGTATTGTCACTTAATATATTAGTTACAATAACCGCAACGGGAATACGAAGGAATTTTTTAATTACAAATAGAAAATCAAACTGTGGGCGATGGGCTCAACGTAGCGTTCCAAGACCGTGAGAACCCATTACAAAGGTGCTCTTGAACTGGTGTGTTCGCTGGCAGTGTTCGCTGTGTTTACCAGACTTACTCCTACAGCAAGAATATGACCGCTGGCAATGTTTGTGATGTTTTCTAGACTCTCAATACAACAATTTGATCTTGCTTCGTCCATATTATATGTATATAAACATTCACAAAACATTCACCTCGTTATCTAATTTAAAATGTATAATTTAATTATTATGTAATTCAGTGCAATTCAGTAACAATGCAACTGGTCATCACTGGGTGAACAAGCACAGTGCGCCGGGCCGGCTCCTTCTAGAGGGCAAGTTCCCCTATCTTAGGTAAGCTAAGACTTTATGTTAGGTCACTATTAAGTTACGTTATTGTTAAGTTAGGATATTATTAAGTTAGGACAGGTTGTTGTGAAGTTTGATGTTTAAGTAAGGATAGTTGGCTCAGGAGCCGAGTTATGTCGCCCGTCGTGTCGAGTGCGTATGTAAAAATGACAAATATGAAGCATTATAATATATGATGAAGCATTATAATATATGATGAAGCATTATAATATATGATGAAGCATTAGTATATATGATGAAGCATTATAATATATGATGAAGCATTGTAATATATGATGAAGCATTAGTATATATGATGAAGCATTAGTATATATGATGAAACATTATAATATATGATGAAGCATTATAATATATGATGAAGCATTATAATATATGAAGCATTAAAATATACAATGAGGCATTATAATATATATCATGTAATCTATTATTCTCCTTAACAATACACAATTCAGCAGTTCGCTAACATGCAAATAAACATTTCAAGCATGGCTTGGATGGATTATATATATATATATATATATATATATATATATATATATATATATATATATATATATATATACTTACTCTATCGGGATTCGAACCTGCGCTACCAGGGTTCATCCCAATGGCTTACATGGTACTAGTGCCACTGCCCTAGCTTATAGTTTTTAGGTAATGCCTTGGGAGTATCTTAGTCGGGGGATCGAATCCTCTCATTGCTCCACTTGGTATTCTCACTGACATACTACAAAAAGTGTGATTTCCCTGTGTATTTAACATCATTGTCACATATATATATTGCTATGGAACTATATATTATTCCTATGTGTCTGTATATTCCTATATGTGCCTGTATATTCCTATATGTGCCTGTGGGACATATGGGACTGCATATGCCCAAGTTAGAATGGACGTTCTTCAAGGTGTTGATACCTGATTGATACCTGGTTGATGGGGTTCTGGGAGTTCTTTTACTCCTCAAGCCCGGCCCGAGGCCAGGCTTGACCTGTGTTCATCACTATATCTATGTAAGGAAGTATACTAATGCTAAATATTAGCTAGTGAAGGTCCGTAATATTGTGCTACACCCGAGGCTTGGTGTGGTAGTGCCCGACAGGAGGCGGCGGAGGCCTACTACTTCTTCACCACCTGCTGGAGGAAGAGGCCTTCACTAGCGACTCTGGGTGCTCAGGGGGGCGGTACTGACCCGTCTGGTGGCGGCGAGGAGGGAGGAGGAGACCTGGGTGACGGCGGCCCACAGGGCGCTCTGGTTCTTCTCCAGCTCCTGCAGGCGGACGTGGGACTCGTGGAACTTGGCCGGCAACTCCGAACTGCTCGCCTCGACTGTAACACAAGCGGCATAGGTTAAGACCCGTCACCCGTCACACGCGCACGCACGCACATGCACGCACATATACACACACACGCACGCACACAAGTACATTACACTCAAGCAGTACAACACGCATGTCATGAACTGTGACACACGCACTAAGCACGTTATAAAGCGATTCACATCACGTGGTGAGAATGACACATCACGTGATGAAGTGACACATCACGTGATGAGAGACAGAACACAGGGCACATGATCCTTACGTTAAAGATACTCACAGGAACTGTAGGGTCACACTAGACAGACTATTTGGCCTAAGTGAGACAAGAACAGGCGTATGAACACAGGTGGAGGACCAAGTACTCACACTGGCCACACAATTACACTAAACATCATTGCCAGTTGTAAATAACTTAAATAAATGAGTAAAACGACAGAGGTGACAGACCAAAGACCCAACCCCGACGACAGCCCCCATGAGAAGGAAAAACGACAGTGAAAGAACAGATGACGAGACTGAAGTATAGGGGAAGGACACGTTCACAGAGAATGAAGAGGCGGCTGAACAGGCGGGAGCCAAGAGGTAAAAGCTCGACTCTACAAGCACCAATAGGAGGGTACATTCGCCCACAAGAAAAAAACAAACAAACTGCTGCCTCTCAAACGAGCTGAAAACAGTTGAAACAGAAAAACTAATCCACAGAGATTGAATATTCCCTCATCCAATTATCAGACACAACATTAACCCAGAACCAATCAGAGGAGAGGGCGAGTAGCTCACCCACCAATCAGAGGAGAGGGCGAGTAGCTCACCCACCAATCAGAGGAGAGGGCGAGTAGCTCACCCACCAATCAGAGGAGAGGGCGAGTAGCTCACCAACCAATCAGAGGAGAGGGAGAGTAGCTCCCCCACCAATCAGAGGAGAGGGCGAGTAGCTCCCCCACCAATCGGAGGAGAGAGCGAGTGGCTCCCCCACCAATCAGAGGAGAGGGCGAGTAGCTCCCCCACCAATCAGAGGAGAGGGCGAGTAGCTCCCCCCCCCACCAATCAGAGGAGAGGGCGAGTAGCTTCCCCCCCCCCACCAATCAGAGGAGAGAGCGAGTAGCTCCCCCACCAATCGGAGGAGAGAGCGAGTAGCTCCCCCACCAATCAGAGGAGAGGGCGAGTAGCTCCCGCACCAATCGGAGGAGAGAGCGAGTAGCTCCCCCACCAATCGGAGGAGAGGGCGAGTAGCTCCCCCCCCCCCACCAATCAGAGGAGAGGGCGGGTAGCTCCCCCCCCCACCAATCAGAGGAGAGGGCGGGTAGCTCCCCCACCAATCAGAGGAGAGGGCGAGTAGCTCCCCCACCAATCGGAGATGAGAGCGAGTGGCTCCCCCACCAATCAGAGGAGAGGGCGAGTAGCTCCCCCCCCCACCAATCAGAGGAGAGAGCGAGTAGCTCCCCCACCAATCGGAGGAGAGAGCGAGTAGCTCCCCCACCAATCGGAGGAGAGAGCGAGTAGCTCCCCCACCAATCGGAGGAGAGAGCGAGTAGCTCCCCCACCAATCGGAGGAGAGAGCGAGTAGCTCCCCCACCAATCGGAGGAGAGAGCGAGTAGCTCCCCCACCAATCGGAGGAGAGAGCGAGTGGCTCCCCCACCAATCAGAGGAGAGGGCGGGTAGCTCCCCCCCCCCACCAATCGGAGGGACAAACAGACAGGTACACCACCATTAAACAATCCACCCATCGCGTGCCCTGAAATATTGGAATCATCGTTCCAGTTAATTATGTTGACTGGAACAGACCGCCAATCACACACCTGGTGCAGCCCGTCCTCCAAAGACCTAAAAGTGATTCCATCCACCAGCCAACCCCCCAGCTGTTTATGAATGAAAAACTGTTTACACACGACTCACAACCGTTGACGTTCGAACACTTCCGGAACAAGTGCTTCACTGACGACTTTTGTTCGAATCACAACGCTGTAAATGCTTCACCCACGTACTACAAATACAAATAATCGCCAACAGAACCTAAACACCTTACGTGTGCCTATATATACAAAATATACTAATATATATTATAATATTAATTTATATTTGAGAAAATTCCCGTTTTGAATGAACAGCATGTAACAAATTATGAATGCCTCTGTGGGGTCGACCGCTGGATGTAATGGACTTGCGTAGATGACGGGTTGACTGGTTTGCCTCCTCGCAAACTAGCTTGCCTGAGGGCACTGGGTAGCACCACTAACTAGCGCCACTAGCTCACCTGAGAGCACTAGCTAGCACCACTAGCTCACCTGAGGGCACTGGGTAGCACCACTAACTAGCGCCACTAGCTCACCTGAGAGCACTAGCTAGCACCACTAGCTCACCTGAGGGCACTGGGTAGCACCACTAACTAGCGCCACTAGCTCACCTGAGAGCACTAGCTAGCACCACTAGCTCATCAAGACCTTCAAATTCTTAACATTTGGGGAGAATATAAACACTTTCTTTATACTCTTCGTCCAGGCCCCCAGCAGTAAATGGGAAGGGGCTGGGATAGTCAGGGATGGGCGGGAAGGGGTTGGGATGGGTGGGAAGGGGCTGGGAGGGTCGGGGATGGGTGAGTGGATGCATATAGCGACTAGCCGATCGGGTTCTGGGGATAAAATACTTGAATTAGGCTTTAAAATGAACCGAGGGAGGAAAGAGCTCTTAGCCTGTACAAAAATACACAGGGCTAAAAACTCTTCCACACTTGTACCCTAGCAGAGTGTGGGAGAGGTGGGAAGAGGGGGGAGGGAATGCTGGAGTGGGAGGGGGGTGCTGGAGTGGGAGAGGAAGGATGAGAAAGGAGTTAAAACTAGCTATTGTCTTGTTGGTGCCTTACTTCCACACAATCTTAGCCATTCCTCATAGAGTAATCAATGTCTGGTAGCCTCATGCCTTCCCTCCTCCTCGACGACGACAAGTCGCCATCAGCCCCCACCGAGGTCCTCCTCCTCCTCCCGGTGGGGGTCATAAACGTGGTCCGACTTGAAGCGCCTCTCAATCCGGACCCAATCTCCCCAGAATTGTATCTTCCGTCCCGCGTATACCTGTCAAATGGGACCGTTGTCGGCGTCTAGGGAGGGGGTGTAGGAGGGGGGTGTAGGAGGGGGGTGTAGGAGGGGGGTGTAGGAGGGGGTGTAGGAGGGGGTGTAGAAGGGGGTGTAGAAGGGGGTGTAGAAGGGGGTGTAGGAGGGGGTGTAGAAGGGGGTGTAGAAGGGGGTGTAGAAGGGGGTGTAGAAGGGCGTGTAGAAGGGGGTGTAGAAGGGGGTGTAGGAGGGGGTGTCGGGGGAAAGGGAGGGGTGTATTAACCCAGGAGATGGTAGAGTGAGCGCCACCCAGGGGACAGCAAGGCGGCGCAAGTACTCCCACCGGGGCTCTTGTCTTGTCTTGTCCCCTTCTTGCCGCCCCCATCACAGGTATTGGCTGGCGGTGAGGGGGAAGAACACCCATCACCCCCCCCCCTCCCCTCGGGCACGACCGATACGGTTGGGCTTTAGGTGTGCCTATGATGTGTAATAATAAGTAGGTCTGCTTGGTCGACCGGTCTCTCCCATGCGCATCATTCTTTTCAACAAAAGAGCCGTCACAGAGGATATAAATAGCGAGTGGTGAGAGTGTGACCTTTGACCTCCCTTGTTACCCGGCGACTGTGCCGGGTAACTGTCGGGTTACTTCGGCCTCGGTTATGGTGAGTAATTGACGGTGCTGGGTACTGTCCTGCTGTAGCTGCCAGGCTTTGGTGGGCGTGACAGTTTGGTGGTTGTAAGGCCCATTTGTCACTCGTTCAATCATTGTATCCTTCACCCGTCATTTAGACCCCCTCACCTTCCATCTGGGCTCCTCACCCGTCATCTGGACCCCCTTCACCTTCCATCTGGACCCCTCACCCGTCATCTGCACCCCTTCACCTTCCATCTGGGGGCCCCTCACCCGTCATCCGGACCCTCACCTTTCCCCTTGCCTCCCTCCCATACTCTTGTATTTCTGATACGAACACAGCACCCAGTCCGCCCGTCCGCCAGCCCTGGCCACTAGTCCAGTCTTCAGCTGACCTTGTTCGAGTCCTTCCCCCCCCCCCCAGCATCGTCATCAAGGGGGCGGTGGACTCGTAAACTGATCCCCCTCCAAAAAAACATTATTATGAAAATTGATTAGTATACCCTCAAGTTCTAAAAAGTAAAAAAAAAAAAGAAAACCGACACACCAAATTTCAGCAGTTTTTTTGTTATGTAAATTTCAATCATATAATGACTAATATGATTTAGTTTCTCTAAAATTTAGTGTGTCGGCTTTTTTGGGAATTGTTTATAACTTATAACATAATGGGATTTTTTTTTAACACAGTGAGAGGGTTTAAAGATGTTTGGGCCACTTTAGTGAGAGGTCGCCGACACGTGATCACCAATATCTCTGCCTCAATGGGGCCTACATTTTAATTAACTTGTCTCCTTTGGATCTTTCAAATGGACCTGTGAGAGTCCGATTTAATTAGTAAGTTGATCCTTCCTCAATCCTCCTCCTCCTCCATCCCTATGGTCACTCACATCCTCCTGCCCCACCCCCCCCCTCTCTCTCTCTCTCTCTCTCTCTCTCTCTCTCTCTCTCTCTCTCTCTCCACTTGTCTCTGTCTTCCAGTCTCTCTATCAACACATAAGGATGCGTCGGCCTGTCTACTTGAGGGTCTCCTGGTGTGTTTACCCGTCTATATGTCCATATCTGTCCATCTTGAACGTCAACTTGCCAGCGAGGTAGTGGCCAAGGAGTACGTTCCTTGCCAACTTGTTCCACAGATCTCCAACCCTATTTCAGAGCTCAGTTTGTATCTATTTTCTAAATCGAAGTTTGTTCAGTTTTAGTCCATTGCTTCGTGTCTGTAACTTTTGACTTGTATGTTTACCCGTATTTATATCACCTCAAACAAATAAAAACAAACTTCTGAACCATTGATATAGTTCATTTATACTTTCTTATCGCTCTACTTTATG